CCTTTGTTTGATGATATGATCTATTGTCTTTATTTATAACTTCATGATGAATGTCTTTTATTCATTTACTGTTTACAACCCTAGTGTTCCAACCTGACTGTTTCACACACACCCATACCTCTATCTTCTATCAGTTTAAAATCCTAGACATTTCAGCAATGGCCCTCTCGATTGAGTTTGCAAGAGCTACCACCCCTGCCCCAGAAAGATGTACCTCATCCCTTGCATACATATCATTTTTGCCATAAAAGTTGTCCCAGTTGTCAATGAATGGGATTGCAAGTTCCTTGCAGTATCTGTCTAGCCAGCAATTTACACCAATTGCCCTAGACAACCATTCATTGCCCACTCCCCTTCTAGGCAAGATGCTACATATAATTGGGACCCCTCCCTTAGACTTAATTAAATCTATAGCTGACCTGTACTTATCTAGCAGCTCTTCTCTCCTACCCTTCCCAATATTATTTCCACCAGCACTGAGACAGATAATAGGCTTGTTCCCATTACCTGACATGATATTATCCAACCTGTCGACTATGTCACTAACACCAGCTGCAGGGAAGCACACTCTATCTCTTACCTTCTTATTCCTATTACAGAAGGCACGGTCCATATATCGTACCTGTGAGTCACCAACCACAAGTATGCGCTTACCTCCATTTGCAGGGGAAGTAGTACCTTTACCTTCACTGGCCACTGAAGTACACTCATCCTGAAGAACAGAGAAGCGATTTCCTACCTTCAAATCTTCTCTCTTAACTTTCCTTATCTTGATGCTCTTCCCATTACTGGGAACCACTTGCCACTTGTGGTAGGTGCTGGACTGCACCTCACTGCTGGTAGCCGTTGCTACCTCCCCACCTACAGCTTCCTCGCAGCGAGAGACAGACTGCACCTCGCTGCTGGTAGCCTCATTCCCCTCCACTATATTAGCCACCTCACACTCGCTCCCAACCCCATTGAGGGGAACCTTCAGCCTCCTAATTTCCTCTTGGAGGAGCAAGACTTCCTCCTTCAACTCTCCAACCTCAATTTTTAGAACACTGCAAAAGCAAGCCATGGCTTTGTAACCGTCCACACTAATCCCCAAAGCAGCTCAGGGCCTGTGACCTTATGTGACAACTGCCACCTAGCTTATAGTAACTTACTCGCCTTGTTCAATGGATTACCAATTGCTATTCCTTATTGAATACGTGAGTGCCTATTCTTTATCGTGCTATGAGAGTTGGACCATTCACAATCAGCTTGGCGGTTAATTGGAACTTGAAACCCCACACCCATACAACCACTCATAGGTGAATACAGTACTTGCAATGCAGCTGTAGCAGCCTGTAGATTGTCCAGCTCGATGTGACGTCCTGGCGTAGATCCACCTCAATTTCTTCTCGTTATATAATGTTCCCTATTCACTCTATTTCTCTTACTGGTCACACGATTGTTTCACTTTATTATCTTTCTTGGGTGGCACGTGGCAACTTTGCCTGCCCTGCCCGCTCTGACTGCTCACCACGTTTTACTTTCTAGATCACTTACAAAATTGCGGCTCTCCCTACACTTATGTGGCTCAGGCAGATTATAAATCACTTCAAGGAATTGTTCACTACCCTAGCACACTTAGTTATCCTTCAGATCACTTGGGTAGCCCTCGAAAACACTTATGTTCGCGGAGCACGGGAGGCGTGTCTTGCGCACGCACTGACGAGACTGTGTATGTGTGTGTGTGTGTGTGTGTGTGTACTCACCTATTTGTACTCACCTATTTGTGGTTGCAGGGGTCGAGTCACAGCTCCTGGCCCCGCCTCTTCGCTGATTGCTACTAGGTCCTCTCTCTCCCTGCCCCATGAGCTCTATCATACCTCGCCTTAAAACTATGTATGGTTCCTGCCTCCACTACATCACTTTCTAGGCTATTCCATGGCCTGACTACTCTATGACTGAAGAAATACTTCCTAACATCCCTTTGATTCATCTGAGTCTTCAACTTCCAATTGTGACCTCTTGTGTCTGTGTCCCATCTCTGGAACATCCCGTCTTTGTCCACCTTGTCTATTCCGCGCAGTATTTTATATGTCGTTATCATGTCTCCCCTGACCCTCCTGTCCTCCAGTGTCGTCAGGCCGATTTCCCTCAACCTTTCTTCGTAGGACAATCCCCGTAGCTCTGGGACTTGTCTTGTTGCAAACCTTTGGACTTTCTCTAATTTCTTGACGTGCTTGACTAGGTGTGGATTCCAAACTGGTGCTGCATACTCCAGTATGGGCCTGACGTAGATGGTATACAGAGTCTTAAACGAATCCTTACTGAGGTGTCGGAACGCTATGTTTGCCAGGCGCCCGTATGCTGCAGCAGTTATCTGATTGATGTGCGCCTCAGGAGATATGCTCGGTGTTATACTCACCCCCAGATCTTTTTCCTTGAGTGAGGTTTGCAGTCTTTGGCCATCTAAACTATATTGTGTCTGCGGTCTTCTTTGCCCTTCCCCAATCTTCATAACTTTGCATTTGGCAGGGTTAAATTCAGGGAGCCAGTTGCTGGACCAGGCTTGTAGCCTGTCCAGGTCTCTTTGTAGTCCTGCCTGATCCTCATCCGATTTGATTCTTCTCATTAACTTCGCATCATCTGCAAACAAGGACACTTCTGAGTCTATCCCTTCCGTTATGTCGTTCACATATACCAAGAACAGCACAGGTCCTAGGACTGACCCCTGTGGAACCCCGCTTGTCACAGGCGCCCACTCTGACACCTCGTCGCGCGTGTGTGTGTGTGTGTGTATTCTAGTTGTGGTTACAGAGGTTGAGTCACAGCTCCTAGCCCCGCCTCTTCACTAACCGCTATTAGGTCACTCTTCCTGCTCCATGAGCTTTATCATACCTCTTCTTAAAATTATGTATGGATCCTGCCTCCACTACATCACTTCCCAGACTATTCCACTTCCTGACTACTCTGTGACTGAAGAAATGCATCCTAATATTCCTGTGATTCTCCGGAGTCTTCAACTTCCAACTGTGACCCCTTGTTGTTCTGACCCATCTCTGCAACATCCGGTCTCTGTCAACCTTATCGATTCCTCTCAGTGTATAATATGTCGTTATCATATCCCTCTTCCCCATCTCTCCTGTCCATCAGAGTCATCAGGTCGATTTTCCTTAACCTGTCCTCGTAGGACATACCCGTTAACTACGGGACTAGTCTTGTTGGAAACTTTGCACTTTCTCTAATTTCCTTATGTACTTGGCTAGATGTGGGTTCCAAACTGGTGGTGCATACTCCAATATAGGCCTAACATACAAGGTGTATAAGGGTCCTGAAATATTCCTTCGCTAGGCGCCTGTATGCTGCAGCAGTTATTTGATTGATATGCTCCGTAGGAGATGAGCCCTGTGCTATACTCACACCAAAATCCTTTTCCTTCAGTGAGGTTTGTAGTCTCGGCCTCCTAGACTGTACTCCGTCTGTGGTCTTCTTTGCCCTTCCCCAATTTTCATGACTTTGCACTTGGTGAGACTGAACTCGAGGAGCCAGATTTTGGACCAGGCTTGCAGCCTGTACAGATCACTTTGTAGTTCTGCCTGGTCCTCGTCGGACTGAATTTTTCTCATCAACTTCTGAGTCTCCTCGATCCATCATGTCGTTCACATATACCAGAAAGAGTACCAGTCCCAGGACTGTGAACATCTGTGGCGTCCACTCTGACACCTCACCACGTACCATGGCTCACTGTTGTCTTCCCGATAAGTATTCCCTCATCCATTTCAGTGCATTCCCTGTTATCCTTGCCTGGACCTTCAGCTTTTACACAAATCTCTTGTGTGGAACTGTGTCAAATGCCTTCTTACAAGAAGACGCAATCTACCCACCCCTCTCTCTCTCTCTCTCTCTCTCTCTCTCTCTCTCTTGTCTTACTGCTGTCACCCCATCATAGAACTCCAGTGGGTGTGTGACACAGGATTTCCCGCCCCTGAAACCGTGTTGATTGTCGTTCATGAGCTCATTCCTTTCTAGGTGCTCCACCACTCTTCTCCTGATAATCTTCTCCATGATTTTGCATACTGTACATGTCAGTGACACTGATCTGTAGTTTATTGCTTCGTGAATGTCTCCTTTTCAAAAACTGGGATTACATTTGCTGTCTTCCATACCTCAGGTAGTCGCCCTGTTTCGATAGAAGTGTTGAAGACTGTAGTTAGTGGTACACATAGCACCTCAGCTCCCTCTCCAAGACCCGTGGAGAAATGTTATCCGGCACCATCGCCTTCAAAGTATCTAGCTCGCTTAGCAGCCTCTTCACTTCTTCCCCGGTTGTGTGTATTGTGTCCAACACTTGTTGGTGTACCCTACCTCTCCATCTTTCTGGAGTCCCTTCTGTCTCCCCTGTGAACACTTCTTTGAATCTTATGCTGAGCTCCTCACATACTTTGCGGTCGTTTCTTGTGATCTCCTGTCCTTCCTTCCTCAGCCTGATTACCTGATCCTTGACTGTTGTTTTCCTCCTGATGTTGCTGTACAACAGCTTCGGGTCAGCTTTGGCTTTCGCTACTATGTCATTCTCGTAATGTCGCTGGGCCTCCCTTCTTACCTGTACATATTTATTTCTGTCTGTTGAACTACTCACCTTATTCTCCTGGGTCCTTTGCTTTCTGTATTTCTTTGCATATTGTTGTCACATATTCTGTCATCTCATTTACTGACTTCCCTGCCAGTTCTCTATCCCAATGAACCCCGTGTAGGAAATTCTTCATTCCTGTATGTCCCCTCTCGTTCAACATGCCCTTCCTGCCTCCCCCTCCACTTGTAACTCTACTGCGTATTTGAATCTCAGAACAATGTTATCAATAGCCCCGAGGGGTCTTTCATATGTGTTTTCAATATCTGTACTACTCAAGGTGAATATTAGGTCCAGTTTTGCTTGTTCATCCTCTCCTGTTTTTTGTGTGTGTGTGTGCATGGGTGGGTGTATGCTTCTCTTTTTACGTGTGTGTTTGTGTGTTTCAATATTTTACCTCTTATCTAAAGCTGGAATAATTGGGCTGTTCTTTGGACCGATCATTGAAAACATTACGTGTAGAAACCCTTCTCTGGACACGTAAAATGAACACCGACCTGAAATAAAACAGAATGTTACTTTATATTTCGAAATTAAAATTCCACTCTAATACAAGTACCCACTTGAACACACACACACACACACACACATGACTCGACCCCTGCAACCACAACTAGGTGAGTACAACTAGGTGAGTACACGCACCACACACACACACACACACCACACACACACACACACACACACACACACACACACACACACACACACCACACACACACACACACACACACACACCACACACACACACACACACACACACACACAAGAAGACACGAGAGAGAGAGCGGTGAATAGAATGCATTTTCTTTGACTGCAAGAAGGCCCTCGACACAGTTCCTCACAAGAGGTTAATGCAAAAGCTAGAGGATCAGGCACACATAACAGGAAAGGCACTGCAATAGATTAGAGAATATATACAGGGAGGCAACAACGAGTCGTGAGATTTAACCAGGTGTCAGAGTGTGCGCCTGTGACGAGCGGGGTTCTACAGGGGTCAGTCCTAGGATCTGTTCTGTTTTTGGTATATGTGAATGACATAACGGAAGGGATAGACTCAGAAGTGTCCTTGTTTGCAGATGATGTGAAGTTTATGAGAAGAATTAAATCGGTCGAGGATCAGGCAGGACTTCAAAGAGACCTGGACAGGCTACAAGCCTGGTCCAGCAACTGGCTTCTTGAATTTAACCCAGCCAAATGCGAAGTCATGAATATCGGGGAAGGGCAAAGAAAACGGCAAAAGAAAAAGATCTTGGGGTGAGTATCATACTGAGTAAATTTCCAGAGGTGTACTTCAACCGGATAATTGCTGCCGCATACGGGCGTCTGGTTAACCTATAAATAAAATTCCGATACCTCACTAAGGAATCGTTCAAGACCCTACACACCCTGTAAGTCAATCCCATATTGGAGTATGCAGCACCAGTTTGGAATCCACACTTGGTCAAACACATCAAGAAATTAGAGAAAGTGCAAAGGTTTTCAACAAGAATAGTCCCAGGGCTAAGGGGATTATCCTACGAAGATAGGCTAAGGGAAATCGGCCTGACGAATCTGGAGGACAAGCAGGTCAGGGGAGACATTATAACGACATAAAATACTGCGAGGAATTGATAAGGTGGGCAAAGACAGGATGTTCCAGAGATGGGACACAGAAACAAGGGATCACAATTGGAAGATGAAAACTTCGATGAGTCAAAGGGATGTTAGGAAGTATTTCTGCAGTCATAGAGTTGCGAGGAAGTGGAATAGCCTAAAAAATGACGTAGTGGAGACAGGAGCCATACATAGTTTTAATACGAGGTTTGATATAGCTCTTGGAGCAGGGAAGGAGAGGACCTAGTAACAATCAGTGAAGAAGCGGGCGCAGGAGCTGTGAATCGACCCCTGCAACCACAAATATGTGAGTACAAATAGGTGGGTACATACACTACCTGGAGCCACATTGGGGTTCAAAAACATGCTGGGGTAAGATGATGAAGTTGGTACTGGAAAACCTCATGTACCTAGTGTTCACCTTGAGTAGTGCAGATATTGAGGACATCACATATGAAAGATCCCTCTGGGGCAGCCATCACGTGGAGAGGGAAGCAGGAAGGTCAGAACGAGTTAAGCCAAGTTACAAGAGAGGGGACTAAATAGGCATGAAGAATTTCCTGCATGGGGTTCCGTAGGAAAGAGAACTGGTGGGAAACTCTGTAAACGAGATGAAGAAGTAAGTGACAACAACATGCAAGGAAACTGAGGAAAGGTTTGTGCCCAAGGGTAACAGAAATAACAAGAAAGCTAGAATTAGCCCTTGGTTCCCTCAGTGGTGTAGAGAGGCCAAAACCAAGAGTACTAGGGAATGGAAGTAGAAAAGGACCTGAAGAATAAGGAGAACAGTCGTCGTTCCAAAAATGATTATGAACTGGTAAGAAGGGTGGCCCAACGACATTGCAGCGAAAGCCAAAACAGACCAGAAGGTGTTGTACAGCAACATCAGGAGGAAAACAATAGTCAAGGACCAGGAAGGAAGGAAGGGAGATGACAACAAACGACTGCAATGTTTGTGATGAGGTCAACATGAGATTCAAAGAAGTGTTCACAGCGGACACAGAAAGGACTTCAGAAAGACGGAAAGGTGGGGTACACCATCAAGTGCTGGACGCAATACATACAACCGAGGAGGAAATGAACATAAGAACATAAGAACATAAGAAAGGAGGAACACTGCAGGAGGCCTGCTGGCCCATACTAGGCAGGTCCTTTACAATTCATCCCACTAACAAAACATTTGCCCAACCCAATTTTCAATGCCACCCAAGAAATAAGCTCTGATGTGCAAGTCCCACTCAAATCCAACCCCTCCCACTCATGTACTTATCCAACCTAGATTTGAAACTACCCAAAGTCCCAGCCTCAATAACCCAACTAGGTAGACTGTTCCACTCATCAACTACCCTATTTCCAAACCAATACTTTCCTATGTCCTTTCTAAATCTAAACTTATCTAATTTAAATCCATTACTGCGGGTTCTCTCTTGGAGAGACATCCTCAAGACCTTATTAATATCCCCTTTATTATTATAACCTATCTTCCACTTATACACTTCGATCAGGTCTCCCCTCATTCTTCGTCTAACAAGTGAATGTAACTTAAGAGTCTTCAATCTTTCTTCATAAGGAAGATTTCTAATGCTATGTATTAATTTAGTCATCCTACGCTGAATGTTTTCTAACGAATTTATGTCCATTTTGTAATACGGAGACCAGAATTGAGCTGCATAATCTAGGTGAGGCCTTACTAATGATGTATAAAGCTGCAGTATGACCTCTGGACTTCTGTTGCTTACACTTCTTGATATAAATCCCAGTAATCTATTTGCCTTATTACGTACGCTTAGGCATTGCTGTCTTGGTTTAAGGTTGCTGCTCACCATAACCCCCAAGTCCTTTTCGCAATCTGTATGGCTAAGTTCTACATCATTTAACTTATAAGTACTAGAGTTATGGGCACTCCCAAGCTTAAGAACCTTGCATTTATCTACATTGAACTGCATCTGCCACTTTTCTGACCAAGAATAGAGTTTGTTTAAATCCTCCTGAAGTTCCATAACATCTACGTTTGAATCAATTATCCTACCTATCTTTGTGTCATCGGCGAATTTGCTCATATCACTAGTAATTCCCTCATCAAGATCATTGATATATATTATAAACAACAAGGGGCCCAAGACTGATCCCTGTGGAACGCCACTTGTTACAGATCCGCACTCGGATTTAACCCCATTTATGGACACTCACTGCTTCCTGTCAGTGAGCCATGACTCGATCCACGAGAGCACTTTTCCCCCAATGCCATGAGCTGCTACTTTCTTTAACAGTCTATGGTGCGGAACTCTATCAAAAGCCTTACTAAAATCTAAGTAAATAATATCAAATTCTTTATTGTGGTCAACAGCCTCAAAAGCTTTACTGAAGAAAGTTAATAAATTAGTTAGACAAGACCGGCCTCTTGTGAATCCATGCTGAGTATCATTAATCAAGCTATGCTTATCGAGATGGCTTCTTATAATCTCAGCTATAATTGACTCTAGTAATTTGCCTACAATTGAGGTCAGGCTTATTGGGCGGTAATTTGACGGTAACGACTTGTCCCCTGTTTTAAAAATAGGAGTTACATTAGCCATCTTCCACATATCAGACACTACACCTGTTTGAAGAGATAAATTAAAAATATTAGTTAATGGTTCACAGACTTCCATTTTGCATTCCTTAAGAACCATTGAAAAAACCTCATCAGGACCCGGCGACTTATTTTGCTTCAGTCGGTCTATCTGCTTCACAACCATCTCACTAGTGACTGTGATGTTACATAATTTATCTTCTTCTAGCCCACTGTAAAAATTAATTACTGGAATATTGTTAGTGTCTTCCTGTGTAAAAACTGAGAGAAAATAATTATTTAAAATCAAGCACATTTCATTCTCTTTGTCAGTAAGGTGCCCATAGTTATTTTTAAGGGGACCTATCTTATCTCTAACTTTTGTTCTATAGATCTGGAAAAAACTTTCTGGGTTAGTTTTAGAATCCCTAGCAACTTTAATTTCATAGTCCCTTTTAGCTTTTCTTATCCTCTTTTTAATGTCCCTCTTAATGTCAATATACTGATTCATAAGATGACTCTCACCTCTTTTGATACGCCTATAAATTCCTTTCTTATGCCCTAGTAGATATTTGAGCCTATTATTCATCCATTTTGGGTCATTTCTATTTGATCTAATTTCTTTATATGGGATAAACGCTCTTTGAGCAGCATGTATAGTGTTCAGAAAACTGTCATATTGATAGCTCTCTTCGTTACCCCAGTCAACAGATGATAAGTGTTCTCTAAGCCCATCGTAATCTGCTAAGCGAAAATCTGGGACTGTTACTGAGTTATCGCTACTATCGTACTTCCATTCAATGCTAAATGTAATTGATTTGTGGTCGCTAGCACCCAGTTCCTCTGAAATTTCTAAATTATTAACAAGGGATTCATTGTTTGCCATAACTAAGTCAAGCAGGTTATTTCCCGTTGTAGGTTCTGTCAGAAACTGCTTCAAAAAACATTCCTGAAATACTTCTAAGAAGTCGTATGATTCTAAATTCTAAATGTAGAGGCTGCTAAGCAAGCTAGATGCCTCAAAGGCTGGATAACATCTCTTCATGGGTTCTGAAAGAGGGAGCAGACGTGCTATGTGTACCACTAACAATAATCTTAAATATATCTATCGAAACAGGGCGACTACCTAAAATATGGAAGACAACAAGTGTAGTCCCAATTTAAAAAAAAAAGAGATAGACATGAAGCATTAAACTACAGACCAGTGTCACTGACATGTATAGTATGCAAAGTCATGTAGAGATTATCAGGAGGAGAGTGGTGGAGCACCTAGAAAAGAATGAGCACATCAACGACAGCTACCACGGTTTCAGGGACTGGAAATCCTGTGTCACAAACCTACTGGAGTTCTATGACAGGGTTACAACAGTAAGGCAAGAGGGAGAGGGGTGGGTGCACTGCATTTTCTTGGACAATACGAAGACCAGGCAGGGATAACAATGAAGGTACTGCAGTGGATCAGGGGATTCCTGTGAGGAAGAGAACAGCGATTCAAGGTACGTGGCGAGGTGTCAGAGTGGGCGCCTATGACTAGTGGTGTTCCACAGGGGTTAATCCTAGGATCAGTGCTGTTTCTTGTATTTGTGAACGACATGACGGAAGGAATAAGTTCAAAAGTGTTTACATATAAGGTGAAGTAGATGAGAAGAATTCAATCGCACGAAGACCAGGCAGAACTACACAGTGATCTGGAGAGGCTGCAGTCCTTGTCCAGCAACTGACTCCTGGAGTTCAACCCCACCAAGTGCAAAGTCTTAAAGATTTTGGAAAGGCAAAGAAGACCTCAGATGCAATACAGTCTAAGGGGCCAGAGACCACAAACCTCTCTCAATGAAAAGGATCTTGGGGTGAGTATAACACCAGGCACATCTCCTGAGACACACCTCAACTAAATAACTGCTGCAGCATACGGGCGCCTAACTAACTTCAGAACAGCATTCCGACATCTTCATATGGAATCATTCAGGATCCTGTATATCGTGTACGTTAGGACTATATTAAAGTATACAGCACCAGTTTGGAACCCACACCTAGCCAAGCACGTAAGGAATTTAGGGAAAATACAAAGGTTTGCAACAAGACTAGTTACGGAGCTAAGGGGTATGTCCTACGAGTTGAGGTGAAGGGAAATCGACCTGGAGACACTGGAGGACAGAAAAGATAGGGGGATATGATAACGACATATAAAATACTGACAGAAATCGAGAAGGTGGACAGAGACATTATGTTCCAGAGATGGAACACTGCATCTAAGGGGCACAGTTGGAAGTTGAAGACTCAGATGCATCACATGGATGTTAGGAAGTATTTCTTCAGTCATAGAGTTGTCAGAAAGTGGAATAGTCTGCGAAGTGATGTAGTGGAGGCAGCATCCATACTTAGCTTTAAGAAGAGGTATGATAAAGCTCATGGAGCAGGACCATTGTAGAGAAGGGGCCTGAAGATGTGACTCAACCCCTGCAACCACAACTAGGTGAGTACAACTTGATAAGTATACACACACACACAAGCCTGGTCCAACAACTCAACAACTGGCTCGTCTAATTTAACCCCGCCTAATGCAAAGTCAATAAGATCGGGGAAAGGTAAAGAAAACCGTAGGCAGAGTATATACTAAATGGTCAAAACCTTCAAACCTCACTCAGGGAACAGGATTTTAGGCTGAGTATAATACCGAACACATCTCCTGAGACGCATATCATCGAGATAACTACTGCAGTATATGGGCGCCTGGCAGACCTAAGAATAACGTTCCGATACCTCAGGAATTGTTCAATACTCTGTACACCGTGTACGTCAGGTCCATATTGGAGTAAGCAGTTCCAGTTCGGAACCCACACCTGGTCCAACAGGTCGAAAAATAAGAGAAAGTGCAAAAGTTTCCAACAAGACTAGTCCCTGACCTAAAGAGAACTTCCTACGAAGAAAGGTTTACGGAAATCGACCTGACGACACCCTTCTCCTCACTTTCATTTCTGTCACAGACAGTGGCATAACTGATAGTACTGTAGCATCCTCTGCAGACTAGACTATCATCTGCGTGAGATACAGTGAACTTCCCAAACTGATATCAACCAACTTCTCTTATGGGCTACTAATGTTATGATGTTAGACTATTACTAAATTTAGTTACAATGTTTTGGAAAGATTGAGGAAATATAAACAAAATCTGAGCACAAGACAAACATAAATCATTCAGTATAGCACAAATTTGACAAGAAAGTCCTGGGAATGATTGTGTCGAAACTAAAAGGAAAAAAATTAGGTTGGATAGTTAGAGCTTACAAAGCAATAGATGTCAAGCCACTGATGACTAGATTCGCGCAACTTGTTCTTTCTACATCGGAATTTCAGTGTGTAGAAATAATCCCCTTCAAGGCAGACAAAGCATCTAAAGTACTGGTAGAGCCTGAAGTTCCTCCAACTGTTCTCTCTAGAACGTAGGAGAGAATGGTTCATGATAAACAGCACGTGAAAGATCGTTTTTGTAAAGACTGGGCATTTGCTTTGGTATATAGACTATATATTGGCGAAGATTGAAAACCCCAAGTATAGAAGGAGAATTGTAAGATACCGATGAATACAGTTGTTCATCATAGTTGAGTTTAGAAAAGATTTGGGATGAATGAAGGTGAAGAAAGGTTTGCCTATGATTTACCTCCCCTTCCCCAAAAAAGATGGGCTAGATTTTATTTATATGAGGTATGAGCATTTATGAGAAGCAGCTTTCAATGTTATGCGAATCTTCCAGGATATTCGACGATCCAACAAAAGACCAAGAAACTTTACCATATCTTGTTCGAGAGCTTCGTAATGAGTTGAAATGAAGATCATTAGCAAACTAGAGAGAGGCACCCAAAGAGTGGAGGCGAGAACATAGACAAGACTATTAATGGCGAGGATGAAGAGGGTAGTAGTAAGAACAGCCTTGGGGTAACCCTTCAACCAGGACAAAATCAGAGAAAATAGCTAATGTTGACCCAGACATGGAAGTGCCTCTTAAATCAGAAAACTTAAATGAAAAGTAGCAGATTGCTTCGTGGCTTTGCGTCAGTGCTTGCAAAGCCAATGGGTGACATAGATTATTATCGATAGATTATAAGCCAAGGCACTGGAAACATATGTTGCTGAAAGGATTAAGGGGATCTATTTTAGAACTACCCTTATGAATGCCAAATTGAAGAATGGGGCAGAGAATTTGGGATTTCCAGGCACTACTCTAAACGTTTATTAACTGCGCAATAGGCATATAGTGAGAGGTGTCATAGCTTGACGTCTCTGGCTTACGGAAGAGTAAGACAACACCCTTTTCTAAGGTCTAGAGACACACAAAACGGAAAAGATGTACGAGGACTACAAGCGCAGTTGAGAATAAGTGTTGAAGCAATCAAACACTGTCATTAAGCCCATTTGCTCTCAGTTAGCATCTATATAGTGTTCATGTAAGTTCGCAGAGCACAAAGGGCAGGTTATAAAGTTACGGAGTGCAAAAGTAAAATTTAGAGATTCGAATCCCTCTTGAGTTAGAGGAAAGACTTTTGGGAAAAGATTTAGCCACTGGGATTTACATACAAAGCGATGGTCAATTCCTGTGGCAATCTAAACAGTGTGAACAACATTATATCATCAACAGTAAGAATGCGAGCCTGGCCAGGAGAACACTTGCCAGCCAACTTCTGTACCAGCTGCATGTGAAAATTTTGGGAAAAATTCGATTCCGTGTTACTAAAATTTGTCCATCAGTCCTTTGAAAGTAATTTTACTAGTCAACTACCGTATAGGTATCAATAAACATTACATACTAAAATTTCAATAATTCAAAGCATTTAGCCAAATAATTTAAGCTGCTGGAATGAACGGTATTATTGGATTTAGAGTATAGCCCTACTTAACAACTTTATGCAAAAGCCTATATAGCTGCACATTATATAAACATTGAAAGAAATAACTATTAAGATTTCCAAGTACACATTAAAAACATCCCAGCAAGACTTTTTACAGTCTATATTCTCGAATAATTTGCAAAATGTTTTCTCATATAAATACCTGATTTTGTAAAGTCTCGAGCAATATATGCCTTTATGCCGACATCAATCTCTATAATAACGTGATCTCCTCGACGCACCAAAACGTCTATTGTTTCAATAAACTGAGGACGTGCTCTCCATATGAGGCGACCAACCTTCTCTAAATCAGCAATCTCCCGGTATATACCAGACGTTGCTGACTGAAAGTATTTATATATGTTGAAATAACGGAGAAATTATTTTCCTTCATACATGATTTTCATCGCAGAATGCCATTTTTACACCACACATTGCCATCAGACACGACAAATATGTTGTTGCGAATCAACCAAAACCTGCGAGTTAAGCTTATGAGAGGAAAGAAAATTGGTTTTTGCCATAAATCTGCAAAAATAAATCTGAGCATATTGAAAAAGTATATATTATTTAAGTAAGATTAAATAAATTTAAATTGGGCTGTCATATATTTAGTAGAATATAGCTTAAAATATACATTAACTTAAATTAGGTTAGTACAGGTTTCAAAGTTAAGTTTGGTCTTAGGAAAATTATTTCTTACATCACTGTCAGTGAAAAAATTCGTCAATTAATCTATAAAATAAACTATAAAATAAACTATAAAAATAAATCTATAAAATAAACCGGAGTATTTGGCAAGTTTGGCTTATTAGACACGACATACATGTATATAGAATATTTGGCTGTAATTTACACCTTGTCTTGTTTTCTTTATAATGTTTGCATCACGCACCTTCAGATAAGGAATAGTAGCAGAGCCTTTTTCCCAAATAATTTTAACAGAAGGGTCATCTACCACATCCCTGAGAGACTGGTAGGGCTGAGGAATGTGTCTCACTGCCAGGAGAGCAAACAAGTTGCCAGAGTAACTTCGTGTTAACACCAGTGTCACCATCATCCACACTAACAATACAATCCGCTCCCACAACCAGTAAGTTGGCACACTCATATCTGTAATATTTTACACAATTTGCAATTTAGCCCGCAAGTGAGCTAGCAAATGGAACATAGTCCCATCTTCCATAGAAATGATTTGTCTTCTAGAAATTTTCAGAAATAATTGAAAGAGACAACTAGACTAAGTATGCAAGTGAACCTGTAAATTAGAGAATTCTTCTTCAGAATGTAAGACTATTCGACAACATTGTTATGAGCATTGTTGATGACAGTCACCTAAGCGATGATGAACAATTTCCTAAGCTTCACTCTTCTTTTGTATTAGAATATTAATAACCAGATTCATGATATATCAAAGTAATTCATGAAACCCTTTCAGGTCTTCATGAATTACAGCAAAATTCTGTTTACAACACTATGTAAATAACTCGTACATTGGAGGAAAAAACTTATAAGGGCGTTTCTGTCTGAGACAATTAACTATTCACACACTAACTTATTAAAGGCTGGAGAAGGACAGTGTAAACATTGCCTCAGAAATTATTTTTTGTTTATCTGGAAGCTCTTCTGTCACTAAAGAGACAGGATTATCTTGAGAGAAAGCGGCGATGGTTGTCAATGTTATACTTTCCAAAGCTATGTGAAAGCCACTCCAAGTAGCATGTAATCCTAATACAGATATTAGATTAAACACTAATAGCTGTAAGTGGTTAAACAACAGAGACATAAATCTTTTATAGCAGAATCAATAGAAGAGAGGTTTACCTTACGAATTATACTTAGTTTAAGATTGGTTCCCAAAGAATAGGGAAAGCCAAAGGAGAATATGAAATTTAGGTTCCAATGGAATCAAATTAACTATAAGGGTTTCTTTCAGATATACAAGCATAGTATTAGGAAAGATATAGGCCTATCTAAATGCAACTAAGTTCATCCTACTGTTAGAGACAAAGAATTAAGTACTATTTATTACACCTATTTCCTCTCTGATACAGGAGAGAAAACAAACAATATATCGAAAATGAATAATTCATGTGAAAACAAAAGTTAATTATGCAATTTCAAAGGCACTAGTGACATGGTCTTCAGACAACTATCGTGAATCCAAACAAGTCGTCGCTCTGTTGAACTGTTGCTCGAGATTTGTTAAGAAGTGTAAGCAAGCAATTAATAATTACAATCCACTTAGAAGTCAGTTCTAGTGGTATTAATTTTTTTATAAGAAAGTTACATGAAGCACATGTTTCTAAACAAGGGTCTCCAAGCTATTTGGGAAGTTTGAGATGGTGTGCGCTGAAGAAGGGACATTGTGACTCCAGTGTTCCTATGGTCTCTCCAAGTCTCCAGGATATATCACAACATCAGTAAGTTGCAATATTTTAATTGAATTCATAGTTCTTTCTTGAGTGTGGGTGCAAGGTTAATTCCACAAAGTGTTCTCGTGGAAATACCCCACAGCTCAGTTTGAAGGGAAGTGTAACCCACAGTTCCCATACCTAGTTGGGTGAATCTTATTGTGGCTAGCTGGCTCAGTGGCTAACGCGACGGTCTGGAGTTTTGAGACTCTTTTATCGAGGGTTCTAACCCCGCCAGTGTTATGGTTTGTTTGCAATCGTGTCATTACGATTTTGTGAGTCATCCCAACTTTTGTTTTTGTTATGTGAAATGGACATTTAAGTGATAATGACTAAATAATACAAGTCTTTTGTTCTCCCCGCAAAAATAATTATGCTGCAAGAAAAAAATCCCCAGTTCATGCATTGGTAGACCATGTGAGGGAAAATGGATAGGGGGTATTTTTAATATTTAATTATTCGTCGGTAAAACAATATCTACCGAATGTAGTGTATAATTCATAATGACCCTTTCATAAATAATGATGATACTGCAACAAGTGCTTGTAAACATACTTTTTAGACAGTGGGTAAAAATCGTCATTGCAATTTTATGTATTTTTTTTTAAATTATCAGTGAGGACTATCTTTGTGAAGTTCCATGCATTAATTCTTGAAATGCGAAGAGGTCTGGGTCATGTGGGCCCTGTTTACTAGCCATTAGCTCCTCTGCATTGTAGAGGAGCTAACGGTCCATGCTGGGTGGACAAAATCCATATGGGACAAAATCCCCATAAGACAGAATCCACCTAGGCAGAAGAGCGAGAAGACAATAAAATTATAGGCAGGGTGGAGAAGAAGAGATAAAGATTAGGTCAAGTCATGAGTTTTCTGAGGTTTGGAGCATTTGACAATGTAGTGAGAAAGAAAGGCATGTGCAGAGACAAAGCCGGGAATAAGATTCATCTTAGGGTGTAACGGATGCTTCAAGAAGACGGCATCAGTGAAGGTTAGCAGAAGGATAGATAGTTTTGCCAGAGAACCAGTTAACAGGAGGACTGTCTTCTATAACATGATGTTTTTAGACATTAACCTTAATTTTGGACTAACAAATACTCTTCTTAGTAATCTAGTTGTACCTGTCCATCTGTCAATGATGTCTCTGGAGTCCATATCATTTCCTGCTCCTCTTGTCATTTCAATTACTTAGGAATTACTGGCCTCTCATTTTCTGACCCTCTTGAAGAGCAGTGAATAACAGACGACAATAATAACTGATTATTCAATGAGTGAACAAGTGAACAGAGTTTGGCGTTTAGTTTATTGTTATTGAATAATGAGTAAATATAAGTGAAATATGACATGAAAACATCGATATAGTTGTAAATTTTAAAATCCTCAATCACCCTCAAGTGGCAAGCACACACATGTTGCCTCAAGTGGCAAGCACACACATGTTGCCTCAAGTGGCAAGCACACACATGTTGCCTCAAGTGGCAAGCACACACATGTTGCCTCAAGTGGCAAGCACACACATGTTGCCTCAAGTGGCAAGCACACACATGTTGCCTCAAGTGGCAAGCACACACATGTTGCCTCAAGTGGCAAGCACACACATGTTGCCTCAAGTGGCAAGCACACACATGCTGCCTCAAGTGGCAAGCACACACATGTTGCCTCAAGTGGCAAGCACACACATGTTGCCTCAAGTGGCAAGCACACGCAGGTTACCTCAAGTGGCAAGCACACACATGTTGCCTCAAGTGGCAAGCACACACATGTTGCCTCAAGTGGCAAGCACACACATGTTGCCTCAAGTGGCAAGCACACACATGTTGCCTCAAGTGGCAAGCACACACCTGTTGCCTCAAGTGGCAAGCACACACATGTTGCCTCAAGTGGCAAGCACACAAATGTTGCCTCAAGTGGCAAGCACACACATGTTGCCTCAAGTGGCAAGCACACACATGTTGCCTCAAGTGGCAAGCACACAAATGTTGCCTCAAGTGGCAAGCACACACATGTTGCCTCAAGTGGCAAGCACACACATGTTGCCTCAAGTGGCAAGCACACACATGTTGCCTCAAGTGGCAAGCACACAAATGTTGCCTCAAGTGGCAAGCACACACATGTTGCCTCAAGTGGCAAGCACACACATGTTGCCTCAAGTGGCAAGCACACACATGTTGCCTCAAGTGGCAAGCACACACATGTTGCCTCATGTGGCAAGCACACGCAGGTTGCCTCAAGTGGCAAGCACACACATGTTGCCTCAAGTGGCAAGCACACAAATGTTGCCTCAAGTGGCAAGCACACACATGTTGCCTCAAGTGGCAAGCACACGCAGGTTGCCTCAAGTGGCAAGCACACACATGTTGCCTCAAGTGGCAAGCACACACATGTTGCCTCAAGTGGCAAGCACACACATGTTGCCTCAAGTGGCAAGCACACACATGTTGCCTCAAGTGGCAAGCACACACCTGTTGCCTCAAGTGGCAAGCACACACATGTTGCCTCATGTGGCAAGCACACACATGTTGCCTCAAGTGGCAAGCACACACATGTTGCCTCAAGTGGCAAGCACACACATGTTGCCTCATGTGGCAAGCACACACATGTTGCCTCAAGTGGCAAGCACACACATGTTGCCTCAAGTGGCAAGCACACACAGGTTGCCTCAAGTGGCAAGCACACGCAGGTTGCCTCAAGTGGCAAGCACACACATGTTGCCTCAAGTGGCAAGCACACACAGGTTGCCTCAAGTGGCAAGCACACACATGTTGCCTCAAGTGGCAAGCACACACAGGTTGCCTCAAGTGGCAAGCACACGCAGGTTGCCTCAAGTGGCAAGCACACACATGTTGCCTCAAGTGGCAAGCACACACATGTTGCCTCAAGTGGCAAGCACACACAGGTTGCCTCAAGTGGCAAGCACACACAGGTTGCCTCAAGTGGCAAGCACACACATGTTGCCTCAAGTGGCAAGCACACACATGTTGCCTCAAGTGGCAAGCACACACATGTTGCCTCAAGTGGCAAGCACACACATGTTGCCTCAAGTGGCAAGCACACGCAGGTTGCCTCAAGTGGCAAGCACACACATGTTGCCTCATGTGGCAAGCACACACATGTTGCCTCAAGTGGCAAGCACACACATGTTGCCTCAAGTGGCAAGCACACGCAGGTTGCCTCAAGTGGCAAGCACACACATGTTGCCTCATGTGGCAAGCACACACATGTTGCCTCAAGTGGCAAGCACACACATGTTGCCTCATGTGGCAAGCACACACATGTTGCCTCAAGTGGCAAGCACACACATGTTGCCTCAAGTGGCAAGCACACGCAGGTTGCCTCAAGTGGCAAGCACACACATGTTGCCTCATGTGGCAAGCACACACAGGTTGCCTCAAGTGGCAAGCACACACATGTTGCCTACTTGACCACATCTGGACCAACACCATATCCCCTTTAAAATCAGGCATAATTACAGATAATACCACAGACCACTACCCTACTTTCCTCATAACAACTCTTGGTAAACTACCCCAAGACACTACTAAAGTCACCTTCAGACTTCACAATGAGGCAGCCATTAATAACTTCGCAACAGCATTAGCAAACATTGATTGGCACACTGAGCTAGAAATCTATACAGATATTGACGAATGTATTAATAATTTTCTAAAAAAGACCCAATACCTCTATAACAAGCACTGCCCTAAAAAAACTAAACAGATGACAGCAAAGAGACTGAACAGTCCCTGGCTAACACCCAGCATTCTCAAATCCATAAATACAAAACACCAATATGAAAAACAGTACAGAATGGGTCACATAACCAGAGACCAAACAAAACGCTACTCGTCAATCCTAACCAGCCTGATAAGAAGGGCAAAAAAATTGTATTATGAGAACAGATTATCCAACTTACGAGGTGATATAAAAAAGACCTGGAAAACACTATCTGAAATTCTGGGAACAAAAAAGATATCACGAAATAGCGAAATAAAATTAGCAAAATCAGATGAACCCCAACTCCCACCAACAGAAACAGCAAACAGACTCAATGATTTCTTCTCCACTATAGGACAAAACCTTGCCCATAAAATCCCAAGCTCAGATACCCCACCAAATAACTACCTCACCGGCAACTACCCGAACACACTGTTCCTAGCTCCGACTAACCCATACGAAGTCTCCCTTATTATCAATGCACTAAAAAACAAGGCAGGAGATTTAAGTACCTTACCACCCTTTATATATAAAAAAGTGTCACAAGTGCTATCTCCAATCATTGCAACACTCTTTAACAAATCCATTGAATCCTCCACCTTCCCTACAGTACTCAAAATAGCAAGGGTCACCCCGATCCACAAAGGAGGAGACCAAACAGAGTTGAATAACTATAGGCCAATATCCAACTTACACCCTCTCTCAAAAATCTTTGAAAAACTAATTCATAAACGAATCTACTCCTACCTTATCTCCCAAAACATACTCAACCCCTGCCAATTTGGATTCAGGCCTAATAAAAATACTAATGATGCTATTATACACATGCTAGAACATATATACACTGCAATAGAGAAAAAAGAAGTCCCACTGGGGATCTTCATTGACTTACGTAAAGCTTTTGATACAGTTGACCATGACTTGCTCCACGTAAAATTGTCACACTATGGTATAAGAGGGCACTCCCTCAATTACCTCAAGTCATACCTCAGCAACAGAAGCCAATATGTGTACGCAAATGGGGCAAACTCTTCTGCGCAACCAATTACAGTTGGTGTCCCACAGGGAAGTGTCCTTGGCCCTCTTCTCTTTCTCCTATACATAAATGACCTTCCAAATGCTTCGCAATTACTCAAACCCACACTATTTGCAGATGACACTACATACGTCTTCTCTCACCCGAGCCCAGTCACACTAGCCAATACTGTAAATACCGAATTACAGAAAATATCTACCTGGATGAGGACTAACAAACTTACACTAAACATTGACAAAACCTACTTCATTCAGTTTGGTAACAGAGCTACAGATGTCCCTCTTAACATAATGATAAACGGATCACCTATCACAAAGCTAACAGAGGGAAAATTCTTAGGAATCCACCTTGATAATAGACTCAAATTTCATACACATATACAACAAATTTCTAAGAAAATTTCCAAGACTGTAGGCATACTATCGAAGATACGGTACTATGTTCCACAGTCAGCCCTCCTGGCCCTATATCACTCTCTTATTTACCCCTATCTCACCTATGGAATTTGTGCATGGGGCTCAACAACAGTTAACCATCTCAGACCACTAATTACCCAACAAAAGGCTGCAGTTAGAATGATAACAAATTCTCACTACAGGCAGCACACTCCACCAATATTCAATACACTAAACCTACTCACCATACAAAACATCCATACTTATTACTGCACCTATTACATACATAGAACACTTAACTCTGATATTAACCCTCCCCTCAAACATCTCCTTGCCAACCTCAACAGAACACATGACCATAACACAAGGCACAGATCACTCTTTGATGTTCCTCGTGTTCATCTCACACTATGCAAAAACTCAATGCACATAAAAGGCCCTAAAATCTGGAATTCATTACCTGTAAATATAAAAGAAACACTACCTGTTTATAAATTCAAGTCTCTACTCAAAGATCACTTACTCACCCAAAACCAAATAAATACTGAATAACTGAACCTTATAAATTGTATATCTTAAATGTTTCTCACAATTATATCACATAAATGTTAAACCTAAAACCCAATCTAACTTTATTATTTTTTAAATACACTACCTAACAGAATCCTTCATATGACCTGTCTTTGTAATACTCACTTGTGCTTTATAGTAATCTGTTTACATTAATGTTTTATCACTGACTTCATCATTGCTTAATTAATCTTAAGTTAATTTTAAGCCAGCCCGTAATGCTATGCATAGTATAAGTGGCTTTGGCATACTGCTCTTATCTGTATTTTTTGTACCTCTGTATGTGTGCACAAATTTATAATAAATAAATAAAATAAATAAATAAAAGTGGCAAGCACACACATGTTGCCTGAAGTGGCAAGCACACACATGTTGCCTCAAGTGGCAAGCACACACATGTTGCCTCATGTGGCAAGCACACACAGGTTGCCTCAAGTGGCAAGCACACACATGTTGCCTCAAGTGGCAAGCACACACAGGTTGCCTCAAGTGGCAAGCACACGCAGGTTGCCTCAAGTGGTAAGCACACACATGTTGCCTCAAGTGGCAAGCACACACATGTTGCCTCAAGTGGCAAGCACACACAGGTTGCCTCAAGTGGCAAGCACACGCAGGTTGCCTCAAGTGGCAAGCACACACATGTTGCCTCAAGTGGCAAGCACACACAGGTTGCCTCAAGTGGCAAGCACACACATGTTGCCTCAAGTGGCAAGCACACACAGGTTGCCTCAAGTGGCAAGCACACGCAGGTTGCCTCAAGTGGCAAGCACACACATGTTGCCATCAAGTGGCAAGCACACACATGTTGCCTCAAGTGGCAAGCACACACAGGTTGCCTCAAGTGGCAAGCACACGCAGGTTGCCTCAAGTGGCAAGCACACGCAGGTTGCCTCAAGTGGCAAGCACACACATGTTGCCTCAAGTGGCAAGCACACACATGTTGCCTCAAGTGGCAAGCACACGCAGATTGCCACACGGCGATCACCGACGTCATTTTCAACTCTTCCTATATTAGATTTCACTCATTCTTGTCATAATACATTTCTAAAATCAGGAAGAATTTTTTGGTACGATACTTTATTTCAATATTTCCGACAATAAGGGCACGTTTATTTTAGACCACCTTGGACACTATAGGCTATCGCAATTTTCGTGTTTATATATTTTTTTTTTTTAAATTCCACTTACATAACTTAAAACTTCAAATATAACTTTAAATAATACGAACCAGAGCTAAAACTTTCCAGGAAGAAAATGGACATCAACAACGACCATCTGTATTTACCTTGCTGTAATAATATTCGCAGGTAATCGAAAATGACATCAAACAAGTTATTCTGGCCGTCACTCTTATGAGAGAAGCAGGACATGATGACCACAGCGACAGCAAGAACTACCAGCGCCGCCAGGATGGCTGTCCACACCGGCGGTGCCAAGGGAAACAGGAAACCCCACGGGTTCACCTCAGGATCTCCTCCAGCACCCAGGATCCTCCAGTAATCAAACAGTATCGGTACAGTAAAGTCCACCACCTCTCCTCGCCACCTGTCTATCATGAAAGGGCCAGCCGCGACATCTACAACCTATAATTATTATTCGACTCATATCGGTAAAGCCATCCTCCAATATAATTAGCAAAAATCCTTGTATTTCACTGGTTTGAACATGTTCAAAACCTGGAGAAATTAAAAAATATATCATAAATAATTATAATAAAAGATTTCGTATCGTCAGTTTAGCAGACAACAAATGAAAATTAACAGTTTACATTTTGGAAACCGATTACTGCCATGTCCCTACCCAAAAGAGCGATTTTTTTTTAATGATTCTAAAGCAAACATGGTAATTATTTTAAGAATTTACATTAAAGCTTTGTGACAGTGGTACATGTTTGACTTAACAGAATACACAACTACACTCACCTCCTTCATCACCATTCCTACCATGCCAGACCACGACCCATTAGCAAGCATAACACCAGATTCCCCGTCTGGTGGTCGCACGACAGTGTACCTGCTAAGATGCATACATATACTATATTCGTTTACTTTAAATGTATGTTAAAAACAACTCTCCTCAATAAACAAAGGTTCAAGAGCTGTAATTTAACCCGTTAAAATTCTCGTCTTCAACTGAACAGTTGATGTCTAAGTAACATAACAAAGAAGGGGCACTACAGCAGGTCAAACTCACACCCACCAAGACCCACTGATGCATTTGTCTAACCTGTTTTGGTTAGATATATGTAATAAATTATTTAAATCCTCTTTATCTATTCCTGATTTCCATTTATACACTTCAATCATATCCCCCTAATTTTATGTCTTCTCGAGAGTGTTGATTCAGAGCCGTCAATCTATTTTCAATGGGAAGATTTTTGATACACAGGATCAACGTTGTCATCCACCACTGTACGTTTTCCATCTCATTTATGTTCATTCTGTAATATGGTAACCTAAACTATTGCAACATAATCTAAATGAGGCTTAACCAACGGTACATAAAGTTGAAGAATGACATAAGGACTCCTGATCATTTTACTTCTTGATATAAAGCCAAGAATACAATTCGCTTTATTGCAAACACCTAAATACTGTTGTTTTGGGTTTTAGATTACTGCTAAACGGAACTCATAAACCTTTTTCGCATTCAGAGTAAGATCTGTATTATTTAATTAATAAGCATCATGGTTATTTTCATTTTCATAGCTTAAACTTTGCATTTCACTAAATTAAACTGTATCTGGCATTTTCCAGACCACTGCATCAGTCCATTCAGATCTTATTGAAGCGATTTAGTGTCCTTGTCACAATTAATCCACCGACACAAATTGGTGTCATCGGCAAATTTGCTTATGTCGCTGTTTATTCCTTCATAAGAGCATCAAGAAGGAGGAATACTGCAGCAGGAATACAGGCATAAACAATGAACTGAATAAGCCATTGGCATGACAAACGTTTCCAAAATAAAGATATCCAAGTGTTGCACCGGTGAATTATTTATCAATTAGTCCGTTTTTAAACTATTTATTTCAAGTATTGCAGGTCGTTAGAGGTTCGACAGGTGCCAATTTCTCGTAGTGCCAAAATAAAGACGCCAATTTTCACCGTGCCATTTAAGAGGATGCCTGTTTATAATGTTGGCCTAATTTTCACTTATTCATATGGTAGAAATAATTGCATTTCTGAACATGATTATGATTCAAATTTTCACCAACACGATTCCCCTGAGGTACATTACTGTTGTAGAGGTACCTGAAGCCCTCTTATCTATTTTCCCATGAGTGGGAATTTCTCGCAAAATGCTGTTCGACCATGGAACTCTATTAATCATGGAGCTGATTAACCACATCTTTCCACTTCTGATAGTAAAGCCATTTTTATTACAAAGTGTCATTATAGCTACAACAGGAGATTGAACCCCATCACTCTATACTTATGTCCATTCCAAAGAAGATTCGCTCCCTTATGCCTATGGACTGGCATTGTAATTTACTTTTTTGTCTGCTCTGAAGAAATTTTCTAAAATTTCACATAGGTTCTTGCTCTTAAAGCTTTGTAGATGATAGGCCAGAGGTCCTCTGTCTATTATTAATGATTTCTTATTTATAGTTTTTCCTATTCTTCCTGGACTTGAGGTTTAAGCTTGAGACATCTGACAAGGTATCCAAAATATTATTTTTTTTATGGAGACATACAAGAGTTTTTCATGTTAAAATTCAGAAACTTTAATGTAAAGTGGCGAAATTGTTGTCTTACTTCCAGATAAGTTTAATTAATTATTAATTGCATGGAAGAGCCCTTATGAAGGTTTGAGGGAAGGTTGATTACCTTACTGGCGTAAATGGAAAACAGAAGCAATATCTTATTACAATTCTCATGAGATATTTCAGAAGAAATGTGGAATGTTGTTTACAATCGTGTCATTACGATTTCGTGAGTCATAAAATTCGTTTTTTTTTGTTCCTTAATAGAGAGTCGGCCGACTCTGATGAGACTTGTGAAGGTGCCTCATCTTCAGTGTTTAAACTGTCACATAATAAATCCTACTTGACCTTGCCAGGATTCGAACCTGGAATCTTCTGATCCGTAGTCAGACGCGTTATCCGTTGCGCCACAAGGCCGTAGCGTTATAGTCTGACTTGTGTTATTTTTGTAATCAATAACGCATCTGAACCAGATATCCAGTAAAATTTAAGTGAAGTGATGGCACAAAGTGTTCCATTGAAGAAAAGCTGAAGCAGCAAGTACAAAAGAGTATTACTTATTTTTGTAATTTTTACAGTCGAGCAAACACTAGGAAATATGAGAAAACTTTTCAGCCGTAAGATACTGGTAACTTCTAACTAGAACCCAGAACCAAAAAGTGTTTTAATAAATATGTTCTAGTGCTCGCTAACGGTTTTTTTAAAACTTCATTGTCGGTATCAATTACCAGATTTTTATAATTTACAGACACTCCAGGCTTAACCTCTACAGTCATCCATAAAATACTTGCTCATCAATAATCTGGTAAAGAGGAAACTCTTCTCTACCTGTCCACCGCAGGACAGAGTTCGTCCAGAAGGTTGATAAACAATTAAGTCTGAACATAACTGAGTCGTCAGTTCAGTCTTCCCCTTACCTGTTGTTATGATAAAGAAAGGTTATTGTTTTTGCCTGTGTCCGGGGTGGAGTACTGATTTGAATCATTATGTAGCAACACTTGGCGTTACGTAGGTCTTGGTATATCATGATTCAGTACAGTACTCCGTGTTCCCTGCTCTTACAGGTGTGATGCAATACTGAACAATGACCCTCAGACTCGTTACAGCTTTTACAACCCACCTGAGATCATGAGGAGACTGCCAGGTGATTAGGTAATGTTTCTATTAACTCTAAAAACATTTATGAAATGACCTCCACCTGGGAGACAAATATTAGAGCTTTGTTCTTAGCATTACTTACGCTTGACGCACACGACTTTGCTGTTATAGCCTAACAACAAGGATTACTCATTGAAGTCAATGTGTCCTGGTCCTTCGGTACATTAGTTCCTCAGTATGAGCCGAGGATGTTCTTAATATATTACTTACGTGAAATTAAGTGCTTTAGATAGGTATCCCATCAGGAGTGGCACCGGACCTCGGAACATTGTTCTGTGTCCTCCAGGAGCTGAAGGATCATCAATAGTGATGATTTTATTGGCTGGATTCACCTCAGCCGCCACCAACAAATTTGGTCCGTGGGAAAACCTGTAACAGAAAGTTAACTTTGTATTGCAATTTTTTTCTTTTTTTTCCTTTTTAACGAACTGTCATTTTTTTAATAAATTAAGTTATAACATGTATGTCAATCCTGTTAACATTATGTTAATTTAAACTGCAAAACTACATGAAACAGAGGCGTGGTAAGAATGTTAAATATCGCTCCATTAACCCAGGAGAGAAGGTGCTGGTCCAGGAAACTGTGCCTGGTCACACCTTGAAACAAGGTTTAAGAGACCAATGAAGGTAATAAAGAAAAATTCTTATTTAAACTATGTTGTAGTATCTCTTAAAAAACCCCAGTGAGGGTAAAGTTTACCACATTAATCAAATTAAATTATTCTTTAAACCACCTAAGGTCCTCCTGATTCCTGGTATACAATTCCGTAGTTTCAAGTCAGGCTCCCTCACTCAACCATCCTTCAGGATCCTCGCCCCATAATGTCGGGGATTGCAGAAGACCAAATAGAAACACTAAATACCCTTCTGCAAACCTATCCTGACATATTTTCCAGTGTTCCGTAAAAGTGCAACCTGGGTTATCATGTGAACGTAGGAACTGCTAAGCCTACTAAACTCTCTCCCTACAGAGCTAATCCTGAAAAACAGAGGCTACTTCAGCAGGAAGTTGTGTTTCTGTTAGAATATTGAGTGGTGGAGTAATCGTCCAGAACGGGGGCATCACCATGCATCCTTGTTAAGAAGTTCAATGGAGGTTTTTGGATGCGTGCCGACTACTCTAAGGTGAATGAGGTGAATGATGCTTACCCTCTTCCACGTCTGGACGAAATAGCGGATTTTGGGGGTAAGGCCCCTTTCGTTTCCAAACTTTCATGTACCTTAACAGATAAAGAGAAGGAGATTTCTGCCTTCGTGATTCCAAATACTGTGACCCCATTCTTAATACAGAGCTCACCTGACACATTCCAAAAAATTATCAATCAGGTTATTAAAAGACTTTAAGGTACAGTAGCTTACTTGGACGATATAGTTGTATTCAGTGATACGTGAGATCAACATGCGTCCCGTTTTCGTAAGTTATGAAGTAGATAGTGGTAAAGTAGCACCTAAATTTGCCAACGTTTTGGCTATTAAAAATTGTCCCGTTCGTCAGAATAAGAAGTCTCTGCAAAGGTTCTTGTCAATGATATATTTCTATAAACGTTTTTGCAAAAACTTTGCAGATGTGGTAGCCCCCCTCCCCCCTAATCTCAATTACCAGTCACAAGAATAAATTTTGCTGGACCCTAAATTGTCAAGACTCATTTAACATTGTTAAACGTCACTTATGCACTGTAACCAATCGTTTGTCTCCCGATTTTTCAAAACCCTTTGTATTACAGGTTGATGCTTGTGCAGTGGGTGTTAGGGCAGTGTTACTACAAGCATATGGTGAGGGAGAACAACAGACTGTGGCGTACTGCTCGGCCAAACACGAGGCCTATCATAGGGCGTACTCTACTATTGAGGAAGAGTCCCTGTCGTCATACATAGTCACCGTCATCAGTGACCACAATCCTTTACCTTACCCATTTGGGCCATTCTGTTCACCTCAGCTAGTGTGTTCAACAGTTTTCTGTTGCCCTAACTGTGCTCGTGCTTTGGCCTCCTGCTGTTCTGTGGCGTATTGTACATCACTGCAAACACCACTTTGGGATCCCCAGTCTGAAGCTTTACTACTATGTAGTCCCTTACTTCCCTTCTGTTCATTCCTTTCAACTCCTCAACACTCAACTGGTTTTTGATAAGCAGTGCAACTCTTCCTCTCCCTCTGTTCCCTCTATCTTTCCTCAGCATCTCATATAAAGTTGGAAAGATCACATCTGTTATCGTCTCCATTAGCTTTGTTTCCATGAAAGCTATGATGCCTCTGTGATTCTTTCGTGTCACCTCACACTTATTTTTTTATTCCGTTTGTCTTGGGGAGCCATAGTTTCAGCTTCTTTACCAATACAGTATTCTGGGTTGTGTGTGAAGTTAGCAGTGTTGCCAGTTTCAAGGAGCCTTCGTCGAACAGTTGAAGAGTCAACCTCTATACCAGCTGAAGTCAAATTTCTCTGTAGATCTTTGCTGGTTTTCTTGGGATCCTTTACACTATTTCTTACGATAACCTTGTCATCGTGTCATCCACAATCACTAGAGTCGTCATATCTCTTCAAAATCCGACCAACAGTTGACTTTGGTAGGCTCAAATTCTCGGCAATCTGTCTGATACTCAAATCAACATCTTTTCTAAGAGCTACATAAATTGCATGCTTACTAGGTGTAACATCCATCATGAATTTCAGCAGTAATCATAAACTGAAGTGAAGAATTTAGTAAAACCACCTTTCACTCACGCTTGCAGGAATAGCCTTTCAGAACAACAGGTGTTTTACACTAACAAGAGACGCTGGGTAACACCGCAGCTGGATGGTTGCCAGAAGTCAGTAGGAAACTCTTCTGAAAAGAAAGGTACCCAAACTACATTAATTAAGTTTGAGACGTAGACATATTTTGAGATAATCACAAAATTTACTCCTGTCCTAATTTATTTTTACACTACCATTCTTTCGTTTCCTCGAGTCTTGCTCAAAAACCTGTATCAAGTAGGAGTGCACGAAATTCCTAATATTTTCCAATCCTTTCTTCACGAGAGCTATTAACTAATTCTACTTTCAAAATATTTTACAAAATCTTGTCAATACTTATTTTTCTTATTTTTATCACCGCTATAGACGTATTTTTTATAATCAATTACGTAATATTTGCACTTAAACGACCTATGATTACCTCCCCTACGATGAAATCTTGTACAGATTACCCCTCAAGGAAGGTTCCTTGATGTTGGTGAGGGGCTCTTGATTTAGGGAATTGGATCTGTGCTCCAGTTCCCCGAATTAAGCCTGAATGCCATCCACATCCCCCCCAGGCGCTGTATAATCCTCCGGGTTTAGCGCTTCCCCCTTGATTATAATAATAATAATTGTACAGATTAGTTGTTTCTGACTCATATTGTAGCTGGCACAATTAACAAATCCCAATACCATAAAATTTATTCTTGATAAGGCTTTCTATTCGTGTTTCATAATTGTGCATATATATAAGCTAATGCTGCCACAGTGAAAAACATTCTTGGTATAATTTTGTGTGATGAATGGTTTTGAAAACCGACAAGTTGAAGAATTGAGACACTTATGCAACACATGGGAATCTTTATTGAAGAAACGTTTCGCCACACAGTGACTTCATCAGTCCAATACAAAGTAGAAGTGGGTAAGGAGAGTAGAAGTTTGGGGTAATCAGTCCCTCAACCTGGAATCGATGTGTTCAGTCCTACAAGAGTGATGGACTGAACACATCGATTCCAGGTTGAGGGACTGATTACCTCAAACTTCTACTCTCCTTACCCACTTCTACTTTGTATTGGACTGATGAAGCCACTGTGTGGCGAAACGTTTCTTCAATGAAGATTCCCATGTGTTGCATAAGTGTCTGGTATAATTTTGACAAATTATTTTCCGATATTTCATGATAAAATATGGCTTTATAACTGCCCTGCACACGTAACTCTATTATTGTATAACAGATAACGATATTATATATATATGAAAATTGATGGTGTTTCTATGGAGTCTTCACTTAGACCACAATCTGCAAATGCAGCTTCTTGTTCCGGCTGTAACTGATGAAGTTCCAGCTCGCAGGGAGGAGAAAGATAAGAAAGATGGTAATGCAATAAGGAATGGGAGGTAGTTGGCAGAAACACAAGGAAATATGTAAATGTAACTAATGGAAACCGGTTTACAAAAAAAAATTAAAATTGAAGACGATTGTGTAGTTTTGGACAAGTAGGCAGGTAGGACAAGAGCCTCAGGATGTAAGGAAAATGACATTCATGTTATGTGGTTTTTTTAAATTGTATATATATACTGGGCAGGTGTGGGAGATATAGTTAACAAGTTAAATAACATCAAGTCATTATCTCTATAGTGATGGAGGTAATGATGCTTGAAAACGCAAGCATGAAGAGTTGCTGGTCAATTACGAGCCAGTTATCGATCTAACTACGTCTATGGAAGGGATCCCAATCATGTGTAGAATTTTTGCATAGAAGAGAAGGCAGTTAATGAATAGATACGGCAATTGTGTTGAATTTCTGGCTTGACAAGTACTGCTACGAATTTTGAATTCCATTCTTTGATAGTTGGTACAGCTTCTGTGGTAAATATGATATGTACGCAGTGTATGGGTGCATCTCTCTGGTGCAGTGGTGAGAGCATCGGTCATCTCTGTTTAAGGAATCATTGCTATATTGTCTAAAACTATAAATTTTTATAAGAGAGAGGAAACGAGGCATGTGAGAGATGATGCGTTGCAGCATTAGGAGCGGAGAGAGCAAAAAGTAGCTAGATATGTTAGTTAAATAATGGAGAAACAGTTAGGTCAGACAATAGTTCTTCATGAATACAGGAAAACCTTTCTACAAAAACAACAACAAAGTGGAGGAAAGCAAATAATTAGAGTGAAAGAAATAAATCACTGTAAATAAAATCTGTATGATCCTTGTCGGTTTAGCGCTTTCTTTGATTATTATAATAATACTGTACATGAAATGAGGCTAATTGCATGGGTATAAAACATACTGCAATAAGTGAAACCTATTTAAGTTTGAAAATTAGGAATATGCCTATTAATTTCCGCTTAGGGGGATATAAATTATCCTAAACTTACAGAGTCAACAGGAAAGGGCAGAGTTGATATGCAAATTTGGGAAGTTTTCAACTGTTGCGTTAGACACATCATGTAGATAGAATGGATAGACACAGAATGTAGATGCTCAGGAATCTAGAACCGAAAATATGTATTAGTGGGAGATTTAACTTATGCCACATCAACTGGAGCGATTCGATACGTAATGTAGAGTGTGCCGACAATTAAAACAATTTGTGTCACAAACGTATTTTGGAAATACTCTGCTGTACCTGATTTTGGTAAAGAAGGATTTTCTGACGGATAATCTTGAAGTATATGTAGAGTTTGGAGAATGTGATAACAAATCACGTACTTATAATATCTCATGGAATTACCTTAATAATGCTAGCATTATTAAGGACTAAGATAAAATTTGAAAAGTGTCCATTATGGGAGCGAGGGTAACTAGACTTGTGACTATTGTGAAGGAGACCGGGTAGAAGATGGTGGACGTTGTTTATATAACATTTTCTAAAGAATTGTACAGGCTGGCCATGCTGCTTATAATCCGTATAGAGAATTAAGATCAGTGATGAATGATAAACAGATTCAAATTTCTCTTGGGTGGAAAGAGAAGGTAGTTCCAGGTAAATTAAAAGAGGTGAGGGGTAACCTTATTGAAAAGTATATTCAATTTATGAGAGTAGACAAAGGAGGAATAATTAAAGCCAAAAAATACTTTGAAATTAAGATTGAGAGGGAATCAAATACCAGTCCTAACGGTTTGGTTTAGGAATATAAGAATATGATTAATTACAACTCAGGTCTCTAATAAATGTGTTTCATTTTCAAAGCTTATTTCCTTTCTGTTTTTAGTGACATGAAACGAACTCCTAGAAATCTAAAACTATGCTGGTCTGAACGAAAATTATATAATTTATCTATCGAAATATATACTAGGAAACTACATCCACTAATTTTCTTTCTAAAACTCACTTGGAGAACTTGTCAGGGAAAAGTGGAAGATGGGATGTGAGAACGAGGCCTCGACAAGGCGTCCAGGATGCAATCTTCAGTGCCTGGGTTGATCCATGACTGTATGGCAGGTGTATATACACACTAGACCTATAACGAAATATTATCCAGTTAGTTTGCAATGTATGTGTTCGTGAATGTGTTTTTGTTTATCATTTGTGTGTATGACTGACCGATATTACTACCTACAGTATGTTCATTAAGAAATATATTTTTAAATAATTTTTTTATTTAGTTTTACATCCATAGAAGTTCAAAATTTCCCATCACCTGATATTTGCTGTGTCTTCGCTGATAATAACCAACATAGCATTCAGCTTGGAGAGAGGTGTGTGGAGCTCCTGCACCTCGGGAAGTAAACAGCGAGTGACGATCAAAAGCCTAGTAGACCATATCGGAAGAAGACCCTTGAGGGACCACTCCAGGAAGGCAGCGAGGAAAGCTGGATGGTGACTCAGTACAATAATTGTTGTATCTGATGACGTCTGACGCAGCTGATCATGTAGAAATTTTATTGTTAATAGCTGCTTCTATCTGTGAAGTACATGAGGTTTATCTGGAGAGTTTATCTGGAGAGAGTTCCGGGGGTCAACGCCCCCGCGGCCCGGTCTGTGACCAGGCCTCCTTAGGTCAGTGTCCCAGGATGCGACCCACACCAGTCGACTAACACCCAGGTACCCATTTTACTGATGGGGAACATAGACAACAGGTTGAAAGAAACACGTCCAATGTTTCTACTCTGGCTGGGAATCGAACCCAGGCCCTCACCGTGTGAAGCGAGAGCGTTAACCACCAGGCCACCAGAGTGACTATAAAATATAATTAACACCTAGTATCTCTCAGTTAAGAATCACAAACCAAGTTCAAAGATCAATTAACAGCTCAGTTAACTAATAAATGTTCAAATAATGAGAAATTAATAAATTGCTACTTTGATAACGTAACCAATATGTGTACAACAACTGAATCAAAACAATAAAGCAGTTGATGCTAAAATTATTAGATAATCAAACTAGAATATTTCATGAAAATTTTTAAATAAAAAAAGTGGTCATGGCTACAACAAAATCACAGAAATTACCAAATGAAAAAGTAATCAATCCAACTGATTCTTTAGACCGAATATATAGTTTATAGACGAACCCAGATGTTAAGGTGAAAGTCAAATACACCAGATATGTACAAACAAATACTGATAGCAACTTGTAACATACTCTGATTAAACTGTAATAAACATTTTCCAAAACTCAGGAAGTATTTACACTACATCTATTATTATTATTATTATTATTATTATTATTATTATTATTATTACTATTATTATTATTATTATTATTATTATTATTATTATTATTATATTATTTTATTATTATATTATTAATTATTTTATTATTATTATTAGTATTATTAATTTTATATATTATTATTATTATTATTATTATTATTATATTATTATTATTATTATTATTAATTATTATTATTATTATATTATTATTATTATTTATTATTATTATTATTATTACATTATTATTATAATTATTATTATTATTATTATTATTATTATATTTATTATATTATTATTATTATATTATTATTATATATTATTATTATTATTTATATTATATTATTATTTACTATTATTATTATTATTATTTATATTATCTATTATATTATTATAGTACAATTATATTTAAATTATTATTAATATTTGATCAGTTAGATAATTGATGTATAAAGTATATATAAAATGTATTAGATTTATATTATTATTATTAGTTATTATGTAGTTGTTTTATTATGGTCATTATTCATTATGTCATTTTATATAGTTATATTATTGTATATTAGTCGAGGTTCATGGTCTATGTATTATGTTATTAGTGGTCATATGTAGTGTCAGTGGATTCAGACTAGTGTATGATTGGTCATAGTGGCAAGTTGTCAGTAGTCAGACTGTGTGGTATGAGTGGTAATAGTGCGATGGTGATAGTGAGTCAGACTGTGTGGTTATGAGTGTAATAGTGGCAGGTTTCAGTGGTCAGATGGTGTGGTATGATGGTCATAGTGGCGAGGTGTCAGTGGTCAGACTGTGTTATGATGGTCATAGTGGCGAGTTGTCAGTGGTCAGACTGGTGTGGTATGAGTGGTCATAGTGGCGAGGTGTCATGGTCAGACTGGTGTGGTATGAGTGGTCATAGTGGCGAGGTGTCAGTGGTCAGACTGGTTGTGGTTATGAGTGGTCATAGTGGCGAGGTGTCAGTGGTCAGACTGGTGTGGTATGAGTGGTCATAGTGGCGAGGTGTCAGTGGTCAGACTGGTGTGGTATGAGTGGTCATAGTGGCAGGTGTCAGTGGTCAGACTGGTGTGGTATGAGTGGTCATAGTGGCGAGGTGTCAGTGGTCAGACTGGTGTGGTATGAGTGGTCATAGTGGCGAGGTGTCAGTGGTCAGACTGGTGTGGTATGAGTGGTCATAGTGGCGAGGTGTCAGTGGTCGGACTGGTGTGGTATGAGTGGTCATAGTGGCGAGGTGTCAGTGGTCAGACTGGTGTGGTATGAGTGGTCATAGTGGCGAGGTGTCAGTGGTCAGACTGGTGTGGTATGAGTGGTCATAGTGGCGAGGTGTCAGTGGTCAGACTGGTGTGGTATGAGTGGTCATAGTGGCGAGGTGTCAGTGGTCAGACTGGTGTGGTATGAGTGGTCATAGTGGCGAGGTGTCAGTGGTCAGACTGGTGTGGTATGAGTGGTCATAGTGGCGAGGTGTCAGTGGTCAGACTGGTGTGGTATGAGTGGTCATAGTGGCGAGGTGTCAGTGGTCAGACTGGTGTGGTATGAGTGGTCATAGTGGCGAGGTGTCAGTGGTCAGACTGGTGTGGTATGAGTGGTCATAGTGGCGAGGTGTCAGTGGTCAGACTGTGTGGGTATGAGTGGTCATAGTGGCGAGGTGTCAGTGGTCAGACTGGTGTGGTATGAGTGGTCATAGTGGCGAGGTGTCAGTGGTCAGACTGGTGTGGTATGAGTGGTCATAGTGGCGAGGTGTCAGTGGTCAGACTGGTGTGGTATGAGTGGTCATAGTGGCGAGGTGTCAGTGGTCAGACTGGTGTGGTATGAGTGGTCATAGTGGCGAGGTGTCAGTGGTCAGACTGGTGTGGTATGAGTGGTCATAGTGGCGAGGTGTCAGTGGTCAGACTGGTGTGGTATGAGTGGTCATAGTGGCGAGGTGTCAGTGGTCAGACTGGTGTGGTATGAGTGGTCATAGTGGCGAGGTGTCAGTGGTCAGACTGGTGTGGTATGAGTGGTCATAGTGGCGAGGTGTCAGTGGTCAGACTGGTGTGGTATGAGTGGTCAGGGAGTGGCGAGGTGTCAGTGGTCAGATGGTGTGGTATGAGTGGTCATAGTGGCGAGGTGTCAGTGGTCGACTGGTGTGGTATGAGTGGTCATAGTGGCGAGGTGTCAGTGGTCAGACTGGTGTGGTATGAGTGGTCATAGTGGCGAGGTGTCAGTGGTCAGACTGGTGTGGTATGAGTGGTCATAGTGGCGAGGTGTCAGTGGTCAGACTGGTGTGGTTTATGAGTGGTCATAGTGGCGAGGTGTCAGTGGTCAGACTGGTGTGGTATGAGTGGTCATAGTGGCGAGGTGTCAGTGGTCAGACTGGTGTGGTATGAGTGGTCATAGTGGCGAGGTGTCAGTGGTCAGACTGGTGTGGTATGAGTGGTCATAGTGGCGAGGTTGTCAGTGGTCAGACTGGTGTGGTATGAGTGGTCATAGTGGCGAGGTGTCAGTGGTCGGACTGGTGTGGTATGAGTGGTCATAGTGGCGAGGTGTCAGTGGTCAGACTGGTGTGGTATGAGTGGTCATAGTGGCGAGGTGTCAGTGGTCAGACTGGTGTGGTATGAGTGGTCATAGTGGCGAGGTGTCAGTGGTCAGACTGGTGTGGTATGAGTGGCATAGTGGCGAGGTGTCAGTGGTCGGACTGGTGTGGTATGAGTGGTCATAGTGGCGAGGTGTCAGTGGTCAGACTGGTGTGGTATGAGTGGTCATAGTGGCGAGGTGTGTCAGTGGTCAGACTGGTGTGGTATGAGTGGTCATAGTGGCGAGGTGTCAGTGGTCGACTGGTGTGGTATGAGTGGTCATAGTGGCGAGGTGTCAGTGGTCAGACTGGTGTGGTATGAGTGGTCATAGTGGCGAGGTGTCAGTGGTCAGACTGGTGTGGTATGAGTGGTCAGAGTGGCGAGGTGTCAGTGGTCGACTGGTGTGGTATGAGTGGTCATAGTGGCGAGGTGTCAGTGGTCAGACTGGTGTGGTATGAGTGGTCATAGTGGCGAGGTGTCAGTGGTCAGACTGGTGTGGTATGAGTGGTCATAGTGGCGAGGTGTCAGTGGTCAGACTGGTGTGGTATGAGTGGTCAGAGTGGCGAGGTGTCAGTGGTCGGGACTGGTGTGGTATGAGTGGTAAAGAGTGGCGAGGTGTCAGTGGTCAGACTGGTGTGGTATGAGTGGTCATAGTGGCGAGGTGTCAGTGGTCAGACTGGTGTGGTATGAGTGGTCATGGTGGCGAGGTGTCAGTGGTCGACTGGTGTGGTATGAGTGGTCAGAGTGGCGAGGTGTCAGTGGTCAGACTGGTGTGGTATGAGTGGTCATAGTGGCGAGGTGTCAGTGGTCAGACTGGTGTGGTATGAGTGGTCAGAGTGGCGAGGTGTCAGTGGTCAGACTGGTGTGGTATGAGTGGTCAGAGTGGCGAGGTGTCAGTGGTCAGACTGGTGTGGTATGAGTGGTCATAGTGGCGAGGTGTCAGTTGTTCACTGTGAAACTGGTGTGGTATGTCAGTGGTCAGAGTGCTGAGGATGTCAGTGGTCAGAGGTGCTGGTATGAGTGGTCAGAGTGTGGAGTGTCAGTGGTCAGAGTGCTGAGTTGAGTGGTCAGAGGGGCGAGTGTCAGTGGTCAGACTGCTGTGGTATAGTGGTCAGAGTGCTGAGGATGTCAGTTGGTCAGAGTGTGAGATGTCAGTGGTCAGAGTGCTGAGATGTCAGTGGTCAGAGTGCTGAGATATCAGTGGTCAGAGTGCTGAGATGTCAGTGGTCAGAGTGCTGAGATGTCAGTGGTCAGAGTGCTGAGATTGTCAGTGGTCAAGTGCTGAGATGTCAGTGGTCAGACGTGCTGAGATGTCAGTGGTCAGAGTGCTGAGATGTCAGTGGTCAGAGTGCTGAGATGTCAGTGGTCAGAGTGCTGAGATGTCAGTGGTCAAGTGTTGAGATGTCAGTGGTCAGAGTGCTGAGATGTCAGTGGTCAGAGTGCTGAGATGTCAGTGGTCAGAGTGCTGAGATGTCAGTGGTCAGAGTGCTGAGATGTCAGTGGTCAGAGTGCTGAGATATCAGTGGTCAGAGTGCTGAGATGTCAGTGGTCAGAGTGCTGAGATGTCAGTGGTCAGAGTGCTGAGATGTCAGTGGTCAGAGTGCTGAGATGTCAGTGGTCAACGTGCTGAGATGTCAGTGGTCAG